GCTAATGGCTACTAAAATGGAATAAAAACAGAAAGAAGTTGCCTTGCTTGGACTGATGCAGGATTTAGGAAACACGTCCGCCTCTTTTCTTAACTTGGAAAAAAAACTTCCAGACAACAACGGAGTCCGTGTCGCGGACATTTTTCAGAGATCGCCTCTGCTGCAGCTGCCCGGTGGCAACGGGAACTTTACAAAAGTTGCGGTAAGCTATATTTTTAACATTTACGTAACATCTGTGCAGCGCTGAAAGCACCAGACAGAATATTTCTTTGTCCTAACAGTAGTTTATGAAAGTAGTCAGACAAACGAGAGGCGCCTGGCTGCCGCTGGGAGAACGCTCCGTGTTCTCACTACTCTGTAAACAATCACAAGCAACGTGTCCTACAGTTGAAAACAGAAGTTTAAGTTAAAACAGAAACACTGAAACTTTTCTGATGATTTTCTAAACAATGCTGTCGGGGAATTATACGTTTCTGAGACGAGTCTCTGTCTAAACATCACATGCATTACTATCATTAAGCAGCGAGGTGTGTTGAAGCTGTCATCAGCTAAGGGGCGGATGCTTAAGGGGCAGCGAGGAACGAGGAAGTTGTGATCAGGCTGGAGATCACACCAGATTCGCTGCTGCAGGCGTGAATCTGCGGGTCTGCAGCATCCCCTTCTTAACGTGACATCAGGACTTCCCATGTAAGGAAGGTCCGCTCACCTGTTCATCAGATCATTATTTCCTCGCCATGATCTTTTATCATCCCATCATCCTCCAGTCATCCAACTGGAACCAGTTAGTGTTCCTGATCATTCTCAGAATATGCCATGCCTGCTCTGGTGTTAAAAGTTAGTACATTTAAGTCCTAGATCATATTTGTGCCTGTTCTACTGTCATTTTGAAGGATTGTTATTTATGTGTTTTTACTACATTATGAGTAGAAATGCTAATAAAAACTTCCAATTATACAAACAAGTGAAACTGGAAAAATTAGAATCTGGTGCAAAGTCAAATTTATTTCAGTAATTCAACTAGACAGAGACTATTTAAAGGCTCAGGAACCCTTTGCAGGTGTTTTCTATTTGTAATTATAAATTTTAGTTGATTTGAGTTTTGTTTCATATCACACAGTGACATTTGAATAATTAAAATGCATTTTTTATTAAAAGCTTTAGTTTACAGTAATAACCATGTCTAATGTTTGATTCTCTGATATATTGCCTTTCCAGAAGCGTACATACATACAATCATATATATGTATATACATACATATATATGATTGTATGTATGTATATGTATGTACGCTTCCGGAAAGGAAATATATATATATATATATATACATATGTAGCATCTTGCTACAGACATTGAAGGACCTAAGCGTCCTCAAGAAGAGCAGTCTGCTGTGCCCCTTCTTGTAAACGGCTTCGCTGTTCTTTCTCCAGTCCAGTCTGTTGTCCAGGTGAACTCCAAGGTATTTGTATTCCTCAACCACCTCCACTTCTTCTCCCATGATGGAAACAGTGTTTGACCCCACCCTGTTTCTTCTGAAGTCTAAAATCATCTCCTTTGTTTTGTTCACATTCAAGGTCAGATGATTGTTTCCACACCATGCCACAAAGCGCTCCACCAGCTCTCTGTACTCAGCTTCCTGTCCATCTCTGATACACCTGACAACTGCAGAGTCATCTGAGTATTTCTGTAGATGACAGGTCTCTGATTTGTACTGGAAGTCTGAGGTGTACAGGGTGAAAAGGAATTGTGAGAGTACAGTCCTCTGTGGTGCTCCAATGTTACTGATCGCCTGGTTTGATGTGCAGTTCTTCAGTCTCACAAACTGTGGTCTGTTTGTCAGGTAGTCTTTAATCCAGATGATAGTTGAGGCCCCCACCTGTGTCTTCTGGAGTTTTTGGCAAAGTACATCAGGCTGGATTGTGTTAAATGCACTGGAGAAATCAAAGAACATGACCCTGACCATGCTGCCTGCTTTGTCCAGATGACAGTGGATTGGTTGAAGAAGCTGGATGATGGCATCTTCAACTCCAACTCCATGGCGATAAGCAAACTGCAGCGGGTCCTGATATGTCCTAGTTTGCTTATTCAGGTGGACCAACAGGAGTCTCTCCAGGACCTTTGTGATGTGGGATGTCAGGGCAACCGGTCTGTAGTCGTCATTGACCGATGGGCGAGTTTTCTTTGGAACTGGAACAAGGCAGGATGTCTTCCACAGGACTGGAACCTTCTCCTGGGCCAGGCTGAGGTTGAAGAGGTGCTGCAGAATCCTGCAGAGCTGCTCTGCACAGGCCTTCAGTACTCTGTGGCTGACACCATCTGGACCTGCGGTCTTGTTCCTATTCAGTCTCTCCAGCTGCCTCTTCACCTGACTTCTAGAGACAGATAGGTGGGAGGGGAGGTAAATGGGGCAGCAGCATCTCCTGACTTGGTTGAAGACAGATTTATAGAACCAGAAGAGTCCACGACTTTGTTAGAGGACAAAAGAGCTGGCGTGTGACAGGAAAATGTTGGATCAGAGGAGGATGGGATGTCTGATTGGCTGGGGACAGGCGAGGAGGATGCTGGGTTTGTTCCTGAACTGAACCTATTGAAGAACTTGTTCAGTTCATTGGCTGTGTCCAAGCTGCCATCTGTGTCTATATATATAGACATATAGAGATATGTTTATATATATATAATATTAATAAATAATGTTTAAGTAAATTTTTAAAATCAATTTCCTGTTTTTTAACATTTATTCAATAAACTATTCTGGGTGTTTTCTCCATCAATTCAATTCTGTTTATTTTTAAAGCACCAAATCACACGAGTAGTATCAAGGCACTTCACTAAGTAAACATTCCAATTAAACCTACTGCATTGAATTCAATTCATTATACCAAAGGTTTTCTGTGTAAATAATCCCAGCAGATTGCTAAGCAAGCATGCAGCGACAGTGGAGAGTAAAACGCTCTTTCAACAAGAAGAAACCTCCAGAGGATCCAGGCTCAGTATAAGCACTGTTGGTTTAGGAAGACAAAGCAGACACACACAGGCACACGTGCATGCGCACGCATGCACACACACATACACAAAAACACTCCAGTCAAGCATTTATTGTGAGGACCGTCATTGACTTCCATTCATTTTAGTGACTGGATTGTATCTAACTAGTCTACTCCTAACCCTAACCTTAACTCAAACTTAATTTACACCATATGTCAAAGTCTTCGTGGTAACCCCCCCCCCCCCCCCCCCCCCAAACACACACACACACACAGAAAAAACAACACAATCACTGGCATGTGACATGACTAAATTCAAAACTATTTAACCTTTGTTAAGGACTAGAGAGGTACAATATTCACATTTTATACACAACTAGAAAATTCTGAATATGAAGGGAGGAGGTTAGCATAATGGACTTTTTTCTTCAAATTAAACCATCAGCAGCTGATGTTCCTCTTGGCCCGTAA